CTATCGTTTTTTTTTTTAAATCATGGTTGTCAAGCAGTTAATCTTTTTTTTAAAAAAAAAAATCACACTGTTAATCAATAATAGAATACCATTTAAATATTTTGGATATTTTCTATATTTTCAAATGTATCAATTTCAATTGCACACAGAATACAAGATGAACAATATTCACTTTATTTCTAATTATAAATATTTGCACTGTAAAAATAGTACTTTTCAATTCCTGCAAGTGCTGTAGTAGAATCTATTATGAACGTTGAACTTACAAATATAGAATCTGCACAAGAATCTGCATCCAAAACCACAATAAACTTGTAGAACCTACAAGTCCACTTAGTCCTACTTCTTATTCACCCCATTGCTTGGGCAAACAAGTTTCTTTACATTTTAAGGAAATAATGCTGCCTGCTTCTTGTTTACAATGTCACCTGAAAGTGAGAACAGGCATTTGCATGACACTGTCATAGCAGGTGTTGCAAAATATTTATGTGGAAGATGCACTAAAGATTCATGTAAAAGTGGCGAGGAGTCCTGTGGCACCTTAAAGACTAACCGAAGTGTTGGAGCATAAGCTTTCTTGGGCAAAGACCCACTTCATCAGATGCATGCACATCTGACGAAGTGGGTCTTTGCCCATGAAAGCTTATGCTCCAACACTTCAGCTAGTTTATAAGGTGCCACAGGACTCCTCGCCGCTTTTGCAGATTCAGACTAACATGGCTACCCCTCTGATACTAAAGATTCATGTGTTTCTTTATGCTTCAACTACCATTCCAATGGACATGCATCCATGCTGATGACTGGTTTTTCTCGATAACGATCCAAAACAGTGCAGACCAACACACTTTTATCATCTTCATCCAAGTCAGCTGCCACCAGCAGAAGAGTGATTTTCTTTTTAGTGGTTCAGGCTCTGTAGTTTTTGCACTGGAGTGTTGCCCTTCAGACTTTTGAAAGCATGCTCCATACCCAGCCCCTCTCATATTTTGGAAGGGACTTCAGATTTTTAAGCCTTGGGTCAAGTGTTCCTTGGGTCAAAGCTATATTTGTAAATTGCACTTTCATGAGCAAGAGGTTGCACTGCAGCATTTTTATTAAGTGAATTGAAAAATACTATTTTTATCATTTTTACAGTGCAAATATTTGTAATAAAAATATTAAGTGAGCAGCACACACTGTATTGGGATTCTATTGTTTAAGAGTGTGATTCATTCGAGTTAATCATGAGAGTTAACTGCAATTAACTGTCAATCCTAGTATATTTTTATACTTACACACACACACACTTTATAGCACAATATTTATTATTACTGTTACCCCTCTTGCTCCAAGTGTTTAACCAAAAACTTCAGATCTTGTGGTTTGTCAACTCATCATCCTAACTGGAACAATGGAGTCAAATACTTTTGATTCACCCTTGTTTACTTGCAAGGAATGTACAAAGAAATCCTCCACAACCCTTTTGCCCACATCTCATTTTAACCATGTGAGTAATTCCATGAATTTCAATGTAGCCACTCACACTTTTGGAGTTAAGCACATGAGCATCTACAAGATCAGGGTCTTAAATTAGGAAGATATCTATTCAAATTTATTACTCTACATGAATACACTTTACATGACGCAAGTTGTGTCTGCTCATATTTCCCTATAATATGTGAGGGGAGGGGGACCCACACAACAGAGCACCCTTGGCTCTTTGTCTTTAAAGCTATAGACCTGTTTTGATCTCAGACCTGGTGTACACCTGAAAACTTTGGTAGACTCAGCTACATCACTCAGAGCTTTGAAAAGTTTTGCACTCATGGGAGAGATAGTTAAGATGGCCTATGCCCTTTTGTAGACACTGCTAAGATGACAGAGGACCAAGCAACTGCCTTGAGGGGGTAAATTTACTACAGTGATACAAAGCCCCTTTCTGTGGCTACAGCAAGAATCTACACTACGCTAAGGAGAACAGCCTCACTGCGGACATTCCTCCAGTTACTCTGAATTTATAATAGTGTATCTCAACTGAAGGCAAGAGTTATTCCTAATTCTTAATGATGAAACTGATGGCAGAGTTAGACCATAGAATGCTAGCATAAAAGACCATTTTACACAGGAGCATCCTATTAATCCTCACTCAGCCCCATTTTAGTCACTACTAAATAGTTGCACCAGTGGAAACATTTAATGCAAACAAGACCTAACCCAGGATTAGAGTTAGGTCCTTTTTTCTGGTTGAATGAAATTGGGAATTGAGGTTGAATTTGGTGAGTACAAAACTTAGAAAAAGTCATAAAGGTTTGTCTTGACATTTTCTAAATAAAAATGTTTCAACTTTTCATTTTGAAATAGTGTTTAGACAAGTTTAGCTAGATTGGTTAAACCTGTTTTTGGTTTCTAGTTGAACAAAAATGTTTCATTTGACCAGAAATTATTTTTCTTTTTTTCTTCTTCATTTTGACAACAAAAACAAACATTTTCGGTTTTTGACCTGAAAGTATTTTTCTTCTCAGATTTTTCAGTATGGCCACCAAATTGGAAACCTCCCCACCCCCAAGAATTTCACATTCAGTGGAAATATGTACAGGTTAGGCACGAAAACAAAGAAATGCTCCCAGAAAGCTTAAAAACTCACTAAGGGCATGGCTCTCCAATCTTTACTTACTGGGACTACATGAGGGCTGCAGAACAGGACCTCACCAAAAACAAAAAATACACAAGCTCTTACTCAGTCAGACGTGTATTAAGCTCTCCACAATTACTGGTATCAAACCAGGCAAGTTCCTGTCCCAGAACTGCATGGAAGAAAGTTTTTCTTATTTTCTTTGTCTGCCTTGCTGCTGCCAAAACCCAAAATGAGATCTGCAGGTAGCCAAACACTAAAGCAGTCGCTCCAATACCTATATAATATAGAGCAAACCTTAAAAAAAAAAAAGTGTTTTAAAAGTTATTGAAGCTTGAAGAAAGGGAGCTTGGTTATTATAAATAAAAAGAAACCCTTCAAAACATAGTTAGATTATGTCTATTCTACTACCTATGTTAACAAAACTTGTGTCATCATTCCAGGGTGTGAATATTCCACTCCCAAGTGACATAGTTACGTGGATCTAAGCACTAGTGTATACATCACTATGTCAGTGGGAGAGCTTCTCCAATCAATATACCTTATGCCACTCGCAGTGGTGTTTTTTTTAAGCCAATGGGAGGGAGCTCTCCAGCTAGTATACAGAATCTTCACCACATACACTTCAGGGACACAAGTGTATTGGTACAGCTACACTGCTACAGTGCTGTACAACTGATTCAGCACAATACACGTTATGAATCTAAGAGCCTATTTCTGTTCAGAGTTCCTGTCCTTATGTGCACTCAAAAGTAAAACCTTTTTGTCATCATTATTGAGAAGGCCAATAAAAATGCTACATCTTTGGAGGCTAATGAGTTTAAATGGCAATTCATTACTGCACAATTATACATTAAGCTCCTGGAATCCCATAATTTGCTCTCCATGACACTCAGCCATTTCTTTCCATTCTGTCACTTCCCAGAGTCACTCCAATCAATGCAGCCGGAGTTACCTCTGATTTACCGCAATGTGTGTGAGTGGAGAACGACATTCATTCTTTTATTTTATTCATGAGGTAAAATGGTTGGGACAGAAGGGATAGTAGTCACAGGGACATAATTCAATACAGCAGATAAGTCTTGTTCTCCCAAATGGAGGAAGGTGAAGAATAATCTCTGCCTAATGCTATTAACTCTCTCCACTGACAGTTTGCTTAGTCTGTATCAGTTGTATACTTAACAGCTGCTAGTCAACCCATAGTTAATAATTACTTTGAACTTACTCTGTCATTTGCTCTTCAAAGGGCACTTGTGACTGATTGCAGCTCAGTGAACTAGCTGAAACAAAATAAAACGGTTTAAAAGCTATGTAATTTGTTAGAGAGACAAGGTGGGTGAGGTAATATTTTTATTGGACCAGCCTCTATTGGTGAGAGACAAGCTTCCACAGAACAGGCCTGAAGAAGAGTTCTTGAATGCTTGTCCAATACAAGATATTATATCATTCACCTCATCTGTCTATTGACTTGATACCAACCTGAAGTCTTTCATTTGTAATGAAGGAGGTGCTGAAGCTCAAGCAGTAGAGATGCCAACCCCTGGCACAAATTAAACACTGCTAACACGGCTACAACATTACTGTATCCAACAATGTAAACTATTAATTACTTGCACCATCTTCCCTGAAACTCTTCATTGCTAGTTCTCCATGCTCGTATGTGTTGTGACAACATGCAGTATCATTCTATTTATTACAATATTTCACTGAAACAAAGTTGTGACGTACCTGCTGTGTCAATTTAATTTGTGCCTGACATACAGTCCCTGGGTATTATTCAGCAGCAAAGTGGTTAAACTCAGTAATTGCCACATTATCGTATCACCATTAGAATTATATGCCCGTGTTTCCCTTGCATGTGGAACTTCTCTTCCCCCCATGTTCACAAACAACATGGAACAGTTGAAAATAAATCACAAACATATTCATTAAAAACACTTATGCAATATAAGGCAATACATTTTAGCCCACATTTACCCCAGTTTACATAAACAAAAATGGTGGTTGTTTATAAGGTAAAACAAAACTTGACATTTCTTATGTTTTCTCTGTCCTACTGCAGAAAACATTACATAGACAGAAGGCTGAAGCTGGTGATTTTTCAGTGCTCTGTAGAAGAGACATCTTTGTTGTATTTCCTACTGAGAGAGATTTTCTCCCAACTGTTTCTCAGACCTTTGAGTTACAAATCCTCCCTCATCCCGATTAGTTCCTCAGGTTTTCCCAGTTTAATAATCCTACTAATTCTCTATGCATCTTGGAGTCTTCCTAGACTATAGGGGTAACCACCACCTGAATTCCTAATCTAACAGAGAGAAAAAATTAAAGCAAAAGAGAGCTCAAGAATGGGGAAAACCCCTTGCATGGAGGTGTATGTTGTTGCTGATCTTGTGGTTTTGAGTATCGTAAAAATAAGAGGCGAAGGGTAATTATTATTACAGTTGAATGTGTTTAGAAAGCACAAACCAACAGATCAACATGTCCCTGCTGGCTGGGAGAGACTCACCGCTCTGACCTCAGCAGGGAGCTGCTGCTATTGCTGAGGGAGAAGTGCCCCTCCCCCAGCCAGGCAACTCCATGCGTGAGGCCTGGCTGGACAGTTAAACAGCTGTGGGGCTGTGCTGCTGCCCAGCGTAGAAGGAACACTGAAGGGCGGAGGAATATATGAATAAAGGCAAAATAAATAAAGTGTATGAACGATTTCCTTACGTAAACTCTCCTGGGATATACAGCCACTCACAAAACCATCGCTCATTTCACCAAAAACTAGTGACATCAGAGGAAGGCAAACTCCATTCGCTATTGCTGCTATTGTTCCAAATAGCATGAGAATGATATCCAGCCCATCTGCATATCGAAACTGTTGGGAATTAATACAAGAAAGTGAAGTTCAGATTATTTTAGTCAGTGGAAACCAGTCTGATTTCTTGGTTATTTGAATGTGAATAAAATAAAAGAATTTAAGGCTCTGATTCATTTAACATTAGAACAATATTTTGAATTATGTCACATCATCATCAATTGAAATATAAGACAGGTATAGGAAAGTTCAATTAGCTTTTCTATTTCTGATTGGTGACATGCCTACAGATGGCATTGGGAGTGTTTCGCAAGGGCAGCATTTGTAATTATTTGATACATATTTAGCTATGATTCTAAAAAAGTGTGTGTGGGGGGGAGGAAGGGGGAGACAAAATGAATGCCACAAACTAGGGATGTCAATTGTGACAACTGCTGGATTAACCGATAAGCCTAGGTTTATTGGATAATCCTGTTGACTACATGCATTCCCCCTACCCTTGCTGCCTCTGAATCAGAGGCAGCAAGGGCGGGGGAGGCAGGAACTGGTGCCCCCTCCACCCCAAGCTGCTGCCTCTGATAGAGAGGCAGCAGCATGGAGGGGAGGGGAGCAGATGGGAGCTGATATGCATGGAGAGCCATCTTTTAAGCCAGCTCTCCACACATGCTGGCTCCATGGATCTGCCCACTCCCCCTTGCTGCCTCCTACAGAGGCAGCAGTGCAGGGAGGAGGGCAGGGGACAGGGAAGGTTACCACAAACAGGGGGACCCTGTGTATAGGGGCTGCTCCATGCTGGAACAGCCTCTATCTGTGGGAAGCTCAGACCCTCCACAGACAGGGGCTGCTGCCACCCTATGCTGCTACATCTGTATCCGAGGCAGCAGTGTGGGGAGGCAGGCAGGAGCTAGTCTATGCGGGGACCGGCTCCCCTTGCAGACTGTCTCCTGCCTGCCACCCTGTGCTGCTGCATCTGATACAGCAGGTAGGGGGCTTTCTGGTAGTGGGGCTGGGAGCACACTCATTCCCAGCCCCCCTCTGGGGACTATCGAATAGTCTTGTAACTGCTAAAATTTCACTGCATATGTCCTAGGCCAACATATAGTTACTATCATTACAAGAATATTCTTGCTTACAATTGTGACTGGACCAACGATTTCAGATGGTTTGCCTTTTCCCTCTTTTTCTTTGTGTCTCCTGAAAGATATAAATTAAATATGGGGCAGTTCCACTTTATAAGGTTGGCACAAATATGTCCACCATTTTACTTCCAGCTATCTTGTGTAATTTGATAGCCCCCTTGCCATAGGATCTGAGAGCATCACCATATTTTAAAAGCACTTCCACACAACACCTCTGTGTAGTAGGGAAGTACTATAATCCTCATTTTGTAGAGAGGGATGAAAAACAGAAAGATTAATGACAAGACTCTCTTGATTCCACCACTGATTTCAGCAGGTTCAGGAGGCACATTACATGATGTGTCTAAGGTCATATAGGAAGCCTAGAGCTGTGGTGTCCAACCACTTCTGAACTAGCCACACTCCACTGGCCAAATAGCCACGTGGTTAGCATGTTGGACACCCTGGGCCTAGAGCAATGCAGGAAACAATCCAGGTCTCCCAGGACAAAAGTAGTGTTGTAGCCACTAGATTCCTTGGCTTGGCTCAAATACCATTTGCTCTTGATCTGTTCTAGCAGACATGGTAATTCTATTAACCACTGAACTTTTGTATTTTACTTTTCTATTTCACATTAAACACAAATTGCAAAACAAAAAAAAAGTACAGAGTAAGGTGGCACAAATTAAAGTAATGATCCTGCAAGTGCTCCCTATGGATGGATCCCTTAGCCATGTGGTGGCAGTGGCAATTTCAAACAATAGGGCCTGATGAGCCTAAAAGCTCTTATCCACATCAGTAGTGTTTATCTGAGTGATGTTTGCAGTGTTGGTGTAGCCGTGTTGTTCCCAGGATAGAAGAGAGATATCATAGATAATGCCCTATCTTTTAGTGAGCCAACTTCTGTTTGTTGATTGGATAGGACAACATTGAATTATTCACCAATAGAAGTTGGTCCACTGAAAAGAGGTTACTTCACCCATCTTGTGTCTTTAGTCATACGAGTAATTCTATTGATTTCAGTGGGAATGTGTGTGAGACTAGAGGGGGCAAAAAAACCCAAAACCCTAACCCATCTGTAGATCTCACTTAAATTAATTCCAATCCCCAGCAATTATCTATGACTTTCAGGGGAGACACTGTTTTATTGAGGAAGAAGGGAGGCTAATCTGTATGAAGAAGGAAATTACACAACTGGGAGAGTAAAAACATTGTTTGTTTATTTTGCATGGGTAACATAAAATGCTCATTTCTTTGCCAAAGCTGGGTTAGTAACATGAAATAAAAAGTCCAAACTTTAGTAGTTGTTTCTTTAAAAGCAATACAGTCCTCCCAGTCTCACTGGCTGAGGTAAGGAGAGGGGGCAAAGATCCCAGCCAGCCTTGCTTACACAGGGAAGGCTCTTGGAGATGGAAAAGAAACAGCAATTGAAGCTGTCAGTGATCAGCATGAGCTGGAACAGGGATAGCAGCACTTCCTGGGACGCTGGCCTCTGGAACCATCTCCTCACTTCCCAGAACCCTGTGTCCTCACTCTGCTTCCTCCTCCAACTTCTGGGCCCACTCCGAAAGGAGAGATGAGGACAGTTACATATGTGCTGCATAGCAGTGCAAAGTGGTATGGCAGGGGGCATATACACATATGGCTCTCAGAACACAACACGTGTAAAGCTGGACTCAGATGATGAGGAAATTGAGAATGCAGCATAGGCACAGGGCTGTGCAGCTCTTGCTGAGCTAGTCCCATAGATCAATCTGGAACAAACATGGCATGTATAATCTTTATTTGTACATGCATTAGACTTTTAGCCCCATACACTTTTTTGTAGTGAGCCTTGCCACTTGACTCCTCCTTAGGAAGAGGCTGGATGGGGCCCTTGGATGCAAGAAGGGGTGAGACTACAGTATACAGTGCTCTAGGCCATAAGGCAGCCTGGGGGATGCTTTTGTAATTTAAACAGGCCCTCAGCTACTCCTTCTGGGCCTCTCTACCTCACTTCACTAAGCAGCCCAGAATTGAAAGGGTACAAAAAGGTGACTGACTTCTGAACTGCTTCCCTTAGAGGCACAACACAGAATTTCATGCTGTTAAGATGATTATGGAGATATACCTATCTCATAGAATTGGAAGGGACCTTGGGAGGTCATGGAGTCCAACCCCCTGTCCTCATGGCAGGACCAAGTACCATCCCTGATAGATTTACACCAGATCCCTGAAGGGCCCCCTCAAGAATTGAGCTCACAACTCTGGGTTTATCAGGCCAATTCTCAAACCACTGAGTTCTCTCCCCCCAGTAATTAATTGGTGACCTTTTAATGTCCAAAGTTGTTTTTAATATTATACATATATCAGGCCCTGCCAAATTCATGGCCATGAAAAATACAGCCTGGAAGGAGAAATCTGGTGCTCCCCGCCCATCAAATCTGGTCTCCTGTATGCTTTTACCCTATTGTACAGGGATTTTACAAGGGAGACCAGCATTTCTCAAAATAGAGGCCTGGACCCAAAAGGGAGTTGCTGGGGATGATATGTAAGGTTATTTTAAGGTGTGTATGGTATTGACACCTTTACTTCTATGCTGCCTTCAGAGCTGAGCAGCCAGAGAGCAGTGACCAGTTGGCCAGATGGCCAGCTTTGAAAGGAGTGCCCCACCAGCAGCAGTGCAGGTGTAAGGGCAGCAGTACTGCAGCACTCCCTCCCCCACAATAACCTTGCAACCCCCCCCAAAAAACTCCTTTCTGGGCGAGGACCCCTACAATTACACCACAGTGAAATTTCCGATTTGAATAGCTGAAATCCTGAAATGTGTGGTTTTTAAAATCCCATGAAATTGACCAAAATGGACTGTGAATTTGGTAGGGCCCTACATATAGGAAAGATGTAAGATACAGTCAAACTGTGGTTTGTTTATATCCAGCTTCAGGACAGGAGCTGGCATTGACAGTGACTCTACCAATCACTGTCAGAAAGTGATGCAGTTTTTGGATGAATGCTACAACCCCAAGGAGACTATCGGGTTCCATCACAACCCAACAGTTGGTGATACTAACTGGGGGTTGGTGCATAGCCATGGGTTGTCCAGAGTGCAGTGCTTCAACGTCAACAGGGTTTTTATGCCATTTAAAGCTGACTACCCTCAAGAAACCCTACAGAAGCATAGATGGGGGCAATACCTTCCTTCAGAGAAAACATCTCATTTGGGACTAGGGTGCTACATGGGGACAGGGAGTTTTATTTACATCATTTTGAGCCATCCTGTGACACTAGCCATTTTCAGATGATGTGCCACACTACAGTGCATGCCAAAAGCAGAGCAGCATATTGGATTTCTTAATGTATACAAAGATATCAAGAGAAGCCTGCACAATTCCTCCGAGACAAGCGATTAGAGAAAATGGCTGTGTGGGTGGAACACTTGGAAAATCTTTGCAACAGCAGCAGTCCCAGGGAGCTCAAATTAGCACAAATTTACTTAAAATAGAAACAAACACTCATGAAGAAATTCAACCCATTGCTGGGCACATGACACAAAATGTTGAGAATTAAAGATAAATTCTACTCTGAAGCCTGTGGGCCTGAACCCAGTCTCCCGTACTCCTGGTTTACACCAGTTTAATTTCATTGAAGTCAGTGGAGTTACGCCAGCATAAAACCTTTGTGAGAAAACAATAAGGCTCATTAGCTGGTCTCTATATGTGCATTACCCCCTCTTGACCTGAAAGCTTAGCCAAGTTCAGATTCTTATCATTTTCCCACCTAACTGGAACAATTTATGGTAGAATCAGGTGTTTTCTTTGAAGCAAACTTATTTACAAGGAATATCCTGTTTTCTCTGAACACTGGAGGAATCAAACAATAGGAGTTAGTTCTTTGCTTACAGCTCTTTAGCCAGCTTCTCTAGACAAAGAAGGCCCTAATCTTGGCTTCTCCCTGGATCATATACTGGACACCCAGTGCTTGTCCAAGCTTTCTCAGTCTCCCTCTGTGTGTGTGTGTGTGTGTGCGTGCGTTTAGTCTACACTTAAAATGCTACAGCAATACAACTGTGCCACTGCAGCACTTGTGTGAATATTCACTATGGTGATGGGAGAGCTTCTGTCACTTTAGGGTAGTGTCATGTACAGCAATGGCTCTGTGGCGCCATGTGTTGCCCCTCATCTACAGGCACTGAGCCCACAGCCTCAGCTGGCCACAGTTCCCTGTTATAGATCAATGGAAGCTTCAGGAGTGGAATCTGCAGGCAAGGGCAGTGTGTGGAGATCCCCTACTCTGCCTCTCTCAGGGGCTGCAGGGACATGCCAGCCACTTCCAGGAGCAGCAATAACCATAGGGAGAATTACTCCAGACACAACAGGTTAGGCATTTTAGAACTCATTAATCAAAGAATTAAATGTAAGTGTGAGAGAGAAATGAAAATTATGAAATGCACAGACCAGTCAAAACCCAAAAATAACCCCCTTTGCAAGCAGTAACAGAAGTAACAATCCCCCTGCCACACACATATATATGTTGGGTTGGGAGGTGAGAGTGAAGGACAGTGTGTATTTGTGAGAATGAGAGAGACACACGCAATGTGTGAGAGTGACAGAGCTTTGCATTGCCAAGCTCCCTCCATCCCCTTCTCTCTGTGTGTAGATGAGGTACAGAAGTGGGGTGAGGAGGGACAGCCTAACATCAGTGCCCCCGCTTGTTTCTCCCTCCCACACTCTGCACAGCAGGCAGGAGGTTTCCAGGGGAGCAGCTCCAAGGCAGAGGGCAGGAGCAGTATGACAGTGGGTGGAAGGGCAACTGAAGTGCCAGCACTTGATAGCTTCCTGGCCAAATCAGTTAGGATCACCTGTCAGAGGCTCAAAGATCTACCAGTAGATCCCAATCTACTGGTTGGTGACCACGGCTCTAGGGCCTTGTGTACACTGGCAAGTTTTGTCACCAAAAACTGTCTTATGCTGACAAAACAGTGAGACAAAACACACTACAATGCTACTTTTGTTGGAAAAAATACTCAGTTTCGGTGACAAAAACTTCCACCCCATGAGAGACTTTTGTCTTTTCCTCTCCCTTTCTTGTCGACAAAGAGCCAATGTGGATTCTCTTTTGTCAAGAGAACTGGCTTCCACCAGTATCCCACAATGCCTATGCTCAATGTTTTGTGATCTCTGCTGCCCTGCAGACATGCACCCCTTCCCTTTCAAAGCTTAGGGAAGTATCTGACAGCTGAGTGAGCTGCTCCATTTGGGGAACAAGCAAAAAAAGAACAAATCATGGGAATTCTCCTGTTCTTCCTTGCTAGAAACACAGCACTAGGCAAACTGTTGCCGCAGGGGGAGGGCTGGAAAAACTGCTGTGCTGCTTTGATATTCCTCAGCACAGAGAGCTCGCAGAGCTACTCAGAAAGCTGTGGGAGAGCCCTGAGGGAATCCCAAGAAGTGCTGGGATCAGCTCTGCCTTCCCACAACACTGCGCTGTGGGTTTGCTTTGCTCTATCTGTCAACAGGATGCTAGCAATGAGGCCATGAAATGTTACCAATCGGAGGCAGAAAAAACAGTTTGACTGCTTTTCATTTTTGCCATCTTCTGCATGTCAACATCACTTTTGTCACCAAATCTTCCCAGTGTAGACATAGCTTAGTTAATCCACATTCTCCCTGAGAAGCAGTTGCTAGGCCAATGGAAGAATTCTTCTGTTGACCTAGCACTGGCGTTTAGATTGGTCTTTCAGGAGTGTGGGTTTTCACACACCTCTTCACTCCTCTCCCCCTGGGAGACATAGATATGTTGGTATAAATCTTCAGTGTAGATCAGCCCTCCACCTCCTGCTTCTTTTCATGCTCCCACATCCTTAGTCAAATGAGGCCCAGCCTAGCTTTCTGCCTATATAGCTCAAACTCCTGAGAGGCTTTGGATTGGCTCATCTTTTTAGACCACCAATGTTTCTTACCCTGAATGAAGGGTGACTGCTGTGTTCATCAGTTTAAAAGGCTTTAAAAACGAGCTAGGAGACCTGCTTCATTCTGAAAGCTATAGTAAGTTTAGAAACAGTTTGTCCCATTGAGCCAAAACTTAGACAAGAAGTGAGACCCAAACTCTTACCTGTCATCTATCTCCACATTAGTAGAATACTTTGGTGCCTGTCCAGCAATTTCTAGGTCAATGTCTTCCATAATTATGCGTATAGGTTATTTATTCTAAAATAAAATGCAGAGCTGTTAATATCATTATTCATCATAAAATCCAATACAGGACATACTTTAAGTGACAGTGAGAAATCTCCAACATAACGTTACATTAGACATATTATTAGCTTGGCCTTTGAAGTTTTTTTTAAAGTTTACTTATTAAAAACAGAATTAAGATGGCTTCCCCAGTATTACTACCTTTTTCTGGTTTCCCCCTGGAATGAGTTTCCTTGCTCCCTTCAGTTAAATAAGCAGCCGTGAGAGTTAAAGAAATTAGATTAGTTTTTCTGATAGTAAAACACAATATCTGATGCCTTTGAAGCTATTCCAGACACAACTACAGTGCGATAACACTTGCTTTATCTTTATGTTTTCCCCAAGTGCACACTGAGATGGATTAAAAATTGTGAAAAAAATTCTCTTTGTAGAGCGATTAGGATTTTTTCCCTTAAAAAGGACATAAAGAATGGAGGCCATGGTAAAAGTATGTAGAATAATGAATGTTACAGAGAAGATGGAAAAGGAGGAACATAGATTCTCAATCTCAAAATACAAAAACAAAGTCCCATCATTCTGACACCTATTTGGAGCATAAAAATTTATTTCAAAATTGATTTGGGGACCATGTCTGGTTCAATATAACTGCCAGTGTAGTGTCATTTGTGTCACTCTGGGATAGATTTATTTTTTATAAAATCCCACACAGAGGAAAATTAGAAGCATGGTGCCAGCTACCCTGTTTTAGAGGTGCCTCTTGTTTATTCAGCAAGTGAAATATATTTAAACAAGTTCCCCAATATCACATACATCTAAAAAAATTACAGCATGCTTTATAAACAGAAAATTATTTTGCAATGTAAGTTGCCCCTGTAGCCAATAGGAATTCAGTGCCATATATACAATATTAGCGTAACATGATGCATTCATTCCCCGCTAAACAATTGGGCTCCTTTCCTTGTTGGAGGGAGTTTTAAATGTAGAAAAAAAATCTCAAGAAAGACTAGAAATGGCTGGGTTTCAGAGACAAGTCATTAACCATAAACAAAATGGTTAATTATTAATCAAACATATATTAGGTGTTTAATATTTTATTTTACTTTTTTTTTAAACAGAGTCCTGCTTTCATTGACCTGAGTAGCACAGCTGTCACGGATTTGAGGTTTCTAAAAAACATTAATAAGATTGTGCCCCTTCCAAAGTGGCCAGCAGAACTGTAGAATCATAGACATGCAAGACTGAAAAGGGGACCCTGGGAGATCATCTATTCCATTTCCCTTGCTGAGGCAAGGCCATGTGTACTAGACCAGGACAGAGATTCTTCCTTGCTAGATTTAGGCACAATCTTGCTTGATGAGCAAATTATTCAATAAATATATCAGTGTCAATACATTGTTTACAATATTGTTGTAGTCATATTAGTCCCAGGATAGCAGAGACCCAGATATTGGTCCAATAAAAGATATTACTTCATTCAACTTGAACCAAGTTAATACTTTTTAAAATCTGATTTCATAAAGTGACAAAAAATGAAAACTACATAACATTTTAGGAGAAGGAATTGGTGAGGGATTTAGATAATAGCTAACACAAGCACTTTCCATCCTCTCAGACATGCACTCACTCACTCTTCAGGTCATTTTATGCTTATTTCACAGAATCAACAATACCGGAAAGGGTAACATTTATAATTAAGATCACACAGAGCATGATTTGACAGACAGTAATTGGTACTTAAAAACTCTTTTGTACATCATAAAGATCCGAGTTCTGCACCAGGAGGTAAAAAAAGAGAAGTTGTAAGTCCATAATGAACATTCTTCATGCCTAGTTCTTTCCTGCTGTAATTTCTGCTGTAGCCAATTACTTGTACCAGGGACAAATTTGGCTCAGAAATGCCACAGAACAAGCATACTGACCTGATGTAACAATAGCTAGCAGGGTTACATCCAGCAGCATAAGCCTCATCCTCAAACGCTTTAGAACTGTCACCAACTCTTAAGATCAACTAGTGTATTATAAATAGTGAGAATCTTACATAAGTCTAATGAGTCACGTCATGTGATTGCCTACAGAGCAAACCTTGGGTTCAACAATCAACATTTCATAATACATTCTAGGGATACCAAATTGTAAAAAGCAGTGACAGAGATTCACTTTTATGAGGATTTTTCCCCCACATCATATATAGAGCAATTAAACTGCTTAACAAAGTTGTGTTCAAACTGTTTTTTTGGTGGCAACATAGTTTTGCCACAGAACCCTAATTTTGCTAAGAAATGTTAGGTTAATAGTGTAACTGTCCTGCCAGATAGAGCCAGCAACAGCCAGGACCAATATCTAGGGCAGGGCTACTCAACTTTAGAAGCCTCAGGGGCCACAATGTTACTCATAGCACATGCCGAGGGCCGCATCTTAAATGTGGTTGTATATATATGTAAATATATATGCAAATATCCTATTTCACACTGACAGGCATGAATACAAAGATTAAGGCAAGACTACACAACACCTAGTCCCCATTTGTCAGTTCTGCTGCTATGAATAAAATGCAATATTCACCCGCTTTCCACCCATATGACAGCACTTTTAATGAGCAATGACAGTCCAGGAATTTAACTACTAAAATGGTTGTCAACAGAAGACCATTATATTGACTACTTTTTTGTTTTGGCTCCCGTCTGTGGGCCATCTCTTGAGCCCCATGTTACCCAAACCACATCATGGGCTGCAAACAAACAGGCTGTGGGTTGCATGTGGCCCACGGGCCTCATGTTGAGTAGCCGTGATCTAGGGATTCCTCTCCATCCATCCAACAGAGAATTGGCTTAAGCCCTCACTCAGTAATCTGGGAAATTCACACACCACCTCTGGGTGCCTCTGAGAGGCAATGCCTCCCCCTTGCCAGCACAGAGTCTGAGTGGGTTGAGCAATATCCTTTTCTGCTCAAGTTTTTAAACCCAGCAACGTCCCCTTCACGTACCCAACCCTTCTCTACATCCCATTCCATCACTGCCCTTGGTCAGGCATACCCAGAGTTCAAAGATGCAGCTGCAGAGTTTATCTCCCATCCTGAGTGTGGGGAGATAGAGGCATCTTACTCACTTCACTGGCCACTCATCATCCTCCTACTTACTGCCACTGCCCTGCTGGCCATTTGTCTCACCTCTCAGCTGCTGCACTGTTGGATGCTCGTCGTGCTGCTGCCACTCTGCTGGCTGCTCGTCATGCTATCACATCTCTCTGCCACCGACCAGTTGGCTGTCAGTCGCCATCCGGTGCCATCCACTTCTTGGCTGTGACTTCTGCCCATGGGTGTCCGTTGTAATACAATCCCCAGCCTATTACCTTCCCAAACCACCAGCCTGGCCCCGCCCACACTCCGCCTCCAGAATGCCTACTGTAGGTGTTCCATGGGCGGAGTGTTGCTGCCCCCCAGCGCCTGCCCTCCCTAAGCTCCAGGGCTGGTGTTGGGGGAGGGGGTGCCAGTTTTTTTTTTTAATTTTCTCCTTTTTGTTTTCCTTTTCAAGATATGGGTTACATAACCCTAATCTGCAGGTAACCAAGGGATCATAGTTACATGACCCTAATCTGCCCGGTAACCAGAGGGCTCATAAGGAGAGTTCACTTTCCCCTCAGTGCTCTGTGCGTATGTCATCGACACAACCCAGCACTAGGGTGACAGCTAGCATGCTCTTTGGCTTTGTAGGCTGTCTGGGGCAGAAGCCAGCCTGGTTGCCGGCAGCCCTTTGTGGTGCAGCAATCCAGTTTCACAGCTGTAATGACTGCTAGCTCAGGGTTTATTTGGTTTAGTTAGGAGGCTGCAGCAGAGCCAGTCATACACACACGCATGTAGTCTCGTCCTCACACTGCACGGATGGCATGTCAAGTATAGAAGAAAGGAAAAAAGAAGACCAGAAGCAAGACCACTATCCACTTACCTGGGCCTCTGCAACTCCGCCCCGCCTCTGTTCCTTTCCCTCAGCCTGGACACATTCACCTACCTCTTTTCTCCAGATGTAGAGACAGTGG